GAACTATAATACACACAGGGCACAGAGCAAGTGCTCAGTAGTGATAGAAGGACACATAAGTCTGAAGAGAACATCTCTTCACTACAGGAACACAAAGGGTTGTAACCCATGTCATCCCATCATGTACCTGGACCTCTTTGTCCACATTCTCACTGGCTTCGTGCAGAAAGCAAGGGCAATGATGTTGCACTGATTCTGAATGGACAAAGCGGTCACACTTTTCTTAAAGACCAACTGTGAATTCTAAGCACCTTCTGCAAAGGACTAGTTTGAATCAAGTGATCCTTTCTCTGATAAAAAGCAGAGGAAAACGGACAGACAACGAAGAAAGCTTTAGTTATCAAATGCAAAAGAAAGATAATATTTTCCACTGATAATATGATAAATTTGACAACATGAAATATGTGTAATCGGAGCTGGCATGTACTAGAGTCAAGTGTAATTAGCTACTTTTCTTGAGACGAAATCATAAACATGTTCCAATGGCAATCCTGTATATATATATTCAGATAAAAAATAGCCATCTAAGAAATTATGTGAATGCTGCTAAATATAAAGGATTTGTTGTGGAACTTTTATAAAGTGGAGAAAATTTAAAAACTAAATGTTAAAATAACCTAGAACTGGGTAAATTATGCTATCACCAAATGATTAAACTGTAATTGGGAGAATAAAACCTCAAAGATATGACACTGATTAAAAAAAAAAATGTAATCCATCTTAAGATGGAAAAAAGGGGGTTCAGGGAGACCTAAGAGGGAAAGAAAATGAACAACACAGAAGGATAAGGAGGGAGAATAGATAAATAGATAAACTATGATGTTTGAAAATACCATGGCAACTATATTATTTCATAGCTACTTGAAATTACTACATATGTATGTAAGTTTATATCTGTGTATAAACACACACATTTATATAGTTTAATGGAAGTTATGCCAACTGGGGAGACAATGCCCACCCAAGCAGACTTTCACAAAAAAACATGAGTGCTGGGCATATGAAACCTTTTGAACTGTTGGCCAGCAGAGCCCACAAGACCCCTGAAACAATATAGGCTATTGCCATTGCCCTTGGTGCCTTTGAGTAAAGAACGTAAGACCCCATTGCTGAAGATACCACACACTTTGGACAGAAAATTTGGAGAACTTGATCTGCATCTGACCTGAAAACCTCTTCATTGAGGACTAGCTCTCACAGTTTCAGAAAAAGCCATGCAAAGTACCAACAGAGAAAAGTAATCAAAATCCTATTCAGCTGTAGTGACAATGAACCACAATGACCGTGATCAATAGATATTCCAAAGGGGGAAACAGTGGCATTTATATTTTCAGGGTAACCAATAGTTATCTAATTGGACTTAAGAACTTTTCAATACAAAGGAATTCATGACTAGCACTGTAAATTTAGTCAACTACCTCTGGCTGCTGAGACTATGCAACCTAAACGAGACCTACTCTTGCTTTCTTTTTTATTAGTTATTGTTTATTGTTTTTTCACAATTTATTCATCATATATCCCGATCGAAGCTCCCTCTCTCAACTCCTCCAAGGCCCACTTTTCCTCCTCCTTTCTCCATATCCTTCCTCTTTCTCCATACTCTTCCCCTAGTCAAGATACTCCTGCTTTCTTAAGCCATCCTAGTCTCTCACTGCATTCTGAATACCGACCTTATGCCCAGAGATAAGCGTGGTTCTCACCCCTCATCAAAGAACACCCCCTTGTAACAGACAGAGACAGAAAACAACAACTTGTCAAAATGCAGGGATCAATTGATGTGCGATGCCTGCCCACAATTAACAGATTTACTTGGGGCTCAGGGAACATAACAGAAGAAATGAGAGAAGGAGTGTTAAGAGCCAGAGAATCAGAACAGCTATTGTGAGATAGTCTCTTGAAAAAATACACAAAGGAAAGAAGGGGGAGGTCTTGGAGGAGTGGGGAAGGCATCATGTGATCAAGATGTATAACATGAAATTATCTAAAAATTAAAAAAAACTATATTAAAATAAATTTTATTAAAAATTACCTAAAAATCTAACTATATAGTCTCCAAATTCAATCAGCCTGTGGTGGCTCATTTTGTATTGTACAGTTAAGAGCAGTTTATATTTTTCTTTTTTGTTAGTAGTCATTTCTAAATTTTCTGTAATGAACAGATAACACGTCAGAAACTTGAGAAACATTCAAACTATAGTAAAGATGTTATATGGTTGAAGATCAGGCCCTCAGCTTCACTCAGCTCTTTCACCTCTTGCCCTGCAAGTCTGTAAGTACTTTTGCAATAGCTTTTTACCCCAGAACCTTACTCTAGTATATTTTATTATTTTTACAGTTATTTATTCCTTCTCACTACCATATGGCTTGCCCTACTGGAAGGACCATGCATCTCTGGTCCATATCTTTTGGATTTTAATCTAAGAAATAACAGGAGACCCAACAGGAGGCCATATTTAAGCAGATCTTCACAAGCAGGGCAAGTTTTCAGGGAGCTTTTCTTTCCCACATCATGATGCCAGCGTGTCCCATAAGAAGCTGTTCCTTCAGCAGAGCTTTAGAGATTGACAGAGCTACAGTTAACTCACAGCATTCCTGTGGTAAGCCTTTGTGGTAGAAGCCATGTAGATTTAAGGATCATTTGTTACTGCAGCAAAATTAATCACTATACATAGTAAGTATATCTCCCTCTTCTTTCATAAGATTCCCTGCACTCTGCCCAAAGTTTGGTAATGAGTCTCAACATCTGCTTTGATACCCTGCTGAGTAGAGTCTTTCAGAGGCCCTCTGTGGTAGGCTCCTGTCCTGCTCCCTGTTTTCTCCTTCTAATGTCCATCCCGTTTGTCTTTCTGAGTGAGGATTGAGCATCTTACCCAGGGTCCTCCTTCTTGCTTGGCTTCCTTAAGTATACAGATTTTTGTAGGTTTTTCCTACATTATATGTCTAGTATCCACTTATAAGTGAGTATATATCATGTGTGTCTTTCTGTTTCTGGGATACCTAATGCAGGATGATTTTATCTAGATTCCACCATTTGCCTGAAAATTAAATGATTTCCTTGTTTTTAATTGCTGAGTTGTATTCTGTTGTGTAAATGTATCACAATCCATTCCTTAACTGAGGGACATCTGGGTTGTTTCCAGCTTCTGGCTATTACAAATAAAGCTACTACAAATATGGTTGAACAAATGTCCTTGTTGTGTACTTGGGCATATTTTGGATATATGCCTAGGAGTGGTATAGCTGGATCTTGAGGAATCACTATTCCTAACTGTCTGAGAAAGCACCATATTGATTTCCAAAGTGGTTGTACAAGTTTACATTCCCACCAGCAGTGGAGGAGGGTTCCCCTTTCTCCACAACCTCTCCAGCATGTGTTGTCACTTGAGTTTTTGATCTTAGCCATTCTGATGGGTGTAAGGTAAAAATCTCAGGATCGTTTTGATTTGCATCTCTCTGATGGCTAGGGATGTTGAACATCTCCTTATGTGTTTCTCTGCCATTCTATATTCCTCAACAGAGAATTCTCTGTTTAGCTCCGTACCCCACTTTTAATTGGATTACTTGATTTGTTGCTTTTTATCTTCTTTAGTTCTTTATATATTCTGGATATTAGCCCTCTGTCAGATATAGGGTTGGTGAAGATCCTTTCCCAGTCTAGGCTCTGGTTTTGGTTCTGACAACAGTGTCCTTTGCTTTACAGAAGCTTTCAGTACTTTCAAAAGCAAGCAGCTATGAAGTGGTAAAGCAAAGCTTTGGGACAGATCACCCTGAGAAACCTGTAGGTCACCAGCAGGTGGCAGTAGTTAGAAGCCTGAGCCTAGGGTGGAGCAAGGACAACCTCTGGGCTGGTGTGGTAGCTGCTGATGACATCACTTTCTAAGGCCACATACAACTTTCGTATCTGTGAGAGTGGGTGCGCCTCACAAAGCTCACTTGTGAGCTGTGAGATGAATTAAAGGTACTAGAAAACTGGGGGGGGGGGGCGGTACCAACGGGGAGCACGTCCTGACCCCTTAACTTTGTCTTAAGAAGAACCAAGGAATGCCAAGCAGCAGGACCACTGTGGGAATCAGTGAGGGGAATTTTTTTAAATTTATAGTTCTCAAACCTGAAAAAGCCTGTATTTTAAATGCCCCAGTTAATGCTCAAGAACTGTAAAATCTGCCAGCCTCTGATCAAGAAAGGGACAACGCTAATTTTTATTTTCAGAGACGGGAAATAAAATAGCTTAGACGTGAAAGCTGAATGATATGATAGACTTCTGAAGAGTAATTTGCTTCTTTATCCGTGAGACCATCCACGGATCTCGTGGACCAGCCATTAGCTGGGTAGATGAACTGCAGTGTAATGACAAACATGACCTCCATCTGTTTTCTCCTGTCCCCAGCACTGTCAGGAGGCTACGAGGCTACGTGTGGAGCCGTGTTAGGCTGGGTGGGCAGACATGTTGCTCGAGGTCTCTGCTGAGAATAATCTGAAAGCAAGGGTGCAAATATGGCTCAGCCTCAACATTGCAGGTAGATTCCCCTTTGCCTGGAATGAAACCCACCTGTGGCAGCTGCTGGATTAAAGCCCCCAAAATTCTGAAATCTAAGCCTTGGCAGGCTCAACAATAGTCTAAACAAGCCCCAGAAATTGGAAAAAAAAAAAAAAATCTTCATTTTTCTCACAGTCTGGCCGAAGTTTCAAGTTTGCAGTCCAACCAAGGAGCTCTCTTTAAAAAAGGGACTGGGAGGAGTTGAGGGAGGTGCCTTCAATTGAGATATAAAATGAACAAATTGTGATAGGTAAATAAATAAATGAATAAATTGCGGGACTTTATTCAGGCTGTTGGTGAGCAAGGCCAACTGGGCATCAGCTAACAGCCTTGCTTAAGCTGCTTCTCTCAGGAACCAAACTGGTTAGGCCAGTCCTGCCAGGAGCTAAGAAGGGAGAGGAGGGAGGAGGTTCTTGGACTGGAAGGGAGCCAAGAATGGATGAGGGAGGGTGGAACTTACCAGGTTTCTGCAGGAGGCCACAGGAGACCAAAGGAAATCAGGAAGGCTGAATTGTGCTCAGCTGTATAAAATTGAAGGCCAAACTTAAGAGAAGTGGTTGAGGCTGTTTTGCCCCAGGAGAAACTTACAAAGGAAGCTCTCCCTGCCACGCCCATTTGATGGCATACCTGGGGGTGATACCAGGTCCTGTTTCCTGATGTCCCAGCAGAATAAAGAATGACAAAGAGTGCTGACATCTGCCATAGCCTGGATCTTGCTGCACCTAGGAGGGAGAAGGTAAGACTTCGGGGCAGGAGGGAGTACTCTTTCCTCTTCAACTATCTGATTGCTTGCTGGTCTAAAGTTGCAAGTTGCAATACACCTAAGAGCCCTGGGTCTTGGGGCTTGAGTTGTGTCCACCAGTAGTTCCAAAAACCCTCACTCCTCTGTGTGTCTCAGAAGTTCTTGGTCCAAGCTAGCAGGCCCAGAGCATATGGGCACCAAATTTATGAGAGCTCTTGCGGATGGTGGTGATGTGAGTAGAATTTCTTCACCTTGATGAATACGTAGCCCTAACAACTCACCTCTGCCCTTGCTGTTTGTTTATAAATGAGGGACCTGTATGGAGAGCCTATGACACATAAGATACTCATCAATACTTGTAGGACTTCAGGTCTCTCTACAGATGGTTACCGTAGGATTTTGAAAAAAAAAAAAATGAATGTCTATAAAAAATAAAATAAAATGTTATAGGATGGTGTATACTAAATTCGGTAATGATAAAGTAATGATGGAGTGATATACATAAAACGTGACTGTGAAATACGTTATTCATTATTGCATGCCTGTGGGGTAGGTGTTGCTATAGCTGTAGTAATTGGCTAATGAAAGCCAGCTTTCATTCATTATAGAGACCATACTCTCTGCATTTGCGTTGATGAGGCTGTCTTTAACCATTAGCCTTCGAGATTCAGAGTTCACAGTCCTGGTGCAGAACACCTCGGGTTTGTAAATAACCCTTTTGCAGGCAGAAGCAAAGTAATAGTACCATCTCGTTTCCATTCACGTCCGCTAACTTAGAATGATTCAGGCTTTTGCGACCCTTTCCTGAAGTGCAGGGACCATCGGCAGCCTGTGGTCAAAACCATGCAGTCCATGAGGTCTGTGGCATTAAGAACTCTGAGGCTGGGCAGCTGAGGAAGGAGCTAATCTGGAAACTGGAGAGCTGGTAATGGAAAGGGAAAGGGAATATATTTGAGAAGGAGAGAGCTGGAAACTGTGATGGCACCCTGGGGGCAGCTAGAATTAAACCTCCTCACCAGAGCATAGTTAATAGACTCCTCGAGAGCTGGGCCACCCACTAGTCTCTGATCATGGTAAATCACTTACACTGGCTAGCCTCCCCCAGCCCCCCCAGCCCCACAGGACCTTTCCTCTGCCTGGAACACTTTTCCACCTCAGATGTTGCTTATTCAAATGACTTCTCAGATCACAGCATCTCAAATGCTGGCCTCTCGCCTGTCCATGGTTGCCATAATGCCTATCACTCTTATGTGCTTCTCTTGTTTGATTGTCAGCCCTAGTGCACTGATTCTCTCCCTGTGGGGGATGACTTCCACAGGGATCCCATTGCAGATATTCTGCATATTAGATATTTTACATTACAATTGGTAACAGTATCAAAATTACAATTATAAAGTAGCAATGAAATAATTGTTTTGGTTTGGGGTCACCACAATACGAGGAATTGTATTAAAGGGTCACAGCATTAGGAAGGTTAAGAACCACTGTCCTAGCAGCACATGAGCTTCAGGAAGACAGAAACCTACTTCTTTTTACCTCCTAGGCATCACCAAGTCCTTGGAGCCAAGCAGTATTGCTATTAATAGCAGGTGCTCAGTTAATATTTGTTGGGTGAGTGGAAAATAGAAAACACAAGGAGGGATCTAGATTACTAGTTTGCCTCCCTCCCATCCAGCACTACCACCCAAAAGGAGACAACTGTGCACTTCTAAAAACTCAGGGAACAGTTGGTTCCACTCCCAGGTAACACAAAGAAAGTGGTTTAAAAAAAAAAAAAAAGGCACTAACTAGACTTTGTCCCATGAGAAACAACCAGGAACAGAAAGACTGGCTATGCAGGCCAGCATGATAACCTCCACCACCTATGACTCAGTGCAGTTTGCCCTTCTAGACAGGAGAGGTGGAAGGGACCTCAGCACTGCCTGGGAACCTCTCATGCCAAGATACCAGATATCGTAGAGCACTTACTTCCTGGCTTTACCGTGCTACCACTGAAAGTCACACCAGGCTCTTTCGGCGTGTCATTCACTTTTAGGATGACTAGAGGATCACATTTGAGGCTGGGAAATGAAAGCACTTTGTGTGAGCTCTAGAGCTCTCTGAAACTGGTGCCTTCACTTCCCCCCATTTCTGCTCTGTGCAAGTGAATGAAAGCCATATTTATAATGGCAAGTAAGGTAGGTGAAATTTAAGTGATGAAAGTGCTCTCCCAAATGTTTTTTTTTGTGGCAGTGATAAAGCAACCATCACAGTCTCTCTCGCCCGCAAGCTCCCACCCCAGCAAAAGATGGGGAACAGGGAATACACAGAGAAGTGTGTTGATTTTTTTGAGAATTTTGCTTGCAGAAAGGCTGCAAATTGCAAAAGCAGTCTATCAGAGATATTCCCTTCCAAGATTCCTTTTCTGAGACGGTTACCTCAAAAATCAAATCACATACATTAATTAACACCTAGTACACTTGCTCTTCAGAAAAAGCACAAAAGAATCCTGCACAGTTTCGTTTCTGGCATGCAGAAACCATGGCTGGCACCATTTCACAGACTGCTGGGTTTTATGGGTCCCTGTGTGCACTTCCATGTTCTTTACTGTAATGGATGTTAAGCTTTGCCAGCATCGGTCCTGGCCCTGGCCTGGTTGATTTAAGAGACAGCTGATTCCCTGGTGCATTCTGTGATTCTGTTTTTAAGACACTGCTTATGTTCTTCCATTCTGTCCCCTTGTATAATTCTTGATTTGCAGAATTTTCAAAAATAACATTTTTATCAAGAAAATAAATATTTAAATCAGGATCCAAGCCCAACTCCTATTGCTTTATGGAAAAGTAGGGAGCCAAGAAACAGTGTTGTGGTATGAGAAAAAAATTACAGTGTCTATAATCCTTTTTCAGTAGTGCCATTGCGACAGTAAGGGCAAGTGCCAGTGATGCCTTGTTGAGACAGTTCTAGGTTCTAGGGGCTTTCCTTGAATAACCTTATTTAGTGTTCAGGCATGCTTCTTGCTTCCATATTGGGATAAAGAGATTGTGATATTTGGAAGGTCAAATACCACGGTTGGTGTAGTAAGTGACAGAGTCTGGAGTTGAATATGTGCTGCTTATTATAAGAGCCTGTGTTCCTACCCATCCAGGAAGGCACACAGCCGTCTACTGTAAAGACCTAGAACTCATCTTTATGCAGGATGTCAGCCAATGAGATGATGCTAAAGATGATTGTTGGAAATTATCACCATACCGCCGCTCTCATCTAGCTTACCAATGTTTGGAAACATGTTGGAACGAGACTCCTTTTCTGTGGGGGTGTCTTTGTAACCTTTAATAACTTGACAAATGTTTTCATAAAGACAAACAGGGCACATCTCAAGGAAAAACATGAAAATGAACCCAGTCACAGAACATGCAGTTCGTACAGTGTGAAACTGAGCCGTTTTCAAATTTCTAGACCTTTAGAAGAATGTTGAAGACACTTTCATTCTACAGTGGGGCCTAGGACTAATACTGTTATAACGCTATTCATCATTTATTACTTCCTCCTTCATACACAGCAGTGACAGAGGGGCTTGTCTCACATTATCTCATGTGCTCAAGACAATTTATCATAGTGGCTACAAAGTACAGGCTCACGGTTTTCAGCGCCTGGCTTTGTCAATCCTTAGCTGCGCGATATTGGATCAATTTTTTTCAATCACTCTGCATCTTCATATCCATCTTTAAGTGGAGATAAATAATCAATCAGTTTCCTAGGGATGCTGTGGGTTACTCGACTCATGCATATGAATAATACATGACACTTCATAGATCAATATATACATCTGTGTTGTGCATACATGTGTGTATACATGTCCAGTGTCCAGTGTGATGAGATCTCATATGTCTGTTTCTGCTACTATTCCCACTAGCATTCCATGCGATAGGTCCTATCACCACTGATTTTTATATTTTAAAACAGATGAGTAATCAGGTCAAATGACTAGAAGGAGATTCCCACCTTCTCTAATGGACTTAATCCCAGGCCTGCCATATTTAGGTACCATATTTCAAAGTCCAGGTCCCAAGGAGATAAATTGCTTTGAGAATCTAGTTTGACAAAATGTATAGTCTAAAACCTGACTAACTTCCGTCCATACTGGCAATCACTTTACTGGCCTTGTGTCATAGAAGGAAAGTAAGGAAGAAACTGGTTGAGAATAAGTTGTGGATCTAGAATTTCACCAAAGGCGTCAGAACTTTCTCCTCTGTTTATGATTCTTTCTAAGGCCAGACAACCAGCCTAGCTTTGCGGTCAAAGTTCATCCACTACAAGTGATCAGAGGATCTCCCGCTGCCAGGATCAAGTGTGGGACATAACTGAAATGATTTTCAAAGCAGCTTTCTTCTAGCTCTGTGATAGCATTGTCTCATATGGCTCAAATCTGTTAATAGTACATCGCTGGAGCTGTCACTCACCCCAATACAGATGTTAAAAGAAATTGCCCTTAGGTCTTCCTGGTCTGGTTAAAGATGGTTGTTCTTCTACGTGCTCTGTTAACCATAATTATCACTTAAAACTGGGGCTGTTTTATTAAATCACTCCCCTTACTTGCTTCTGCCAGGATCTCAGGGCCCCAGAGCCAGGAGAAGCCATTCATTGTTCTGCAGTCTACATGGAGCACGCAGAGCTCTATGATAATCCCCAAGTACTAATAGTAATTAATAATGGAGAATAGCTCGTTTTATTGAGCTTTGTGTGAATTTAATTAGCACGTGTAATCTTAACTCAGCCACACTTGGCAGAAGGCTCTCATCCATCTGATCCTCCATATTTCAGGGGAATCGGAAGTCTAGGGAGCACACAAACTCAGCCATTGTCACCTGACTGAGAGCCGGCAGCACAGGGCAGAAACCTGATGAGCCTGTGTGACCTATAACCCCTACAACTCGGCGCATGTGCTTCACCTCTGGGCTGGCTGCCACCGATTGCTCTAGCTTGAGTCCACCTCCAGAGATGGTTTGATAGCG